CTTTTGCTTTTTGGCCCTATGACATTTCGATTTGTTCTGGACTTGAGGGTATAGGGTGTATGGTATAGGGGTGAATGACATCTGGTCAAATACATCCCCAATGTTGTGCTACAACCATGCGTGACCTCAGTATCCTGCGGTACCAAATTACGTCCTAGGACTTTTGTATATGAGCAAAAGTCTAAGCCCCAAGTGTCCCCCTTGATAACCCCTATAGTAAGACCCATATAATTCCCCTTTCAGGAGTTTGGATTATCATAGCTCATGTAGGGTTGAGCCGGAATCTCTCCATCAACTGCATGGCTGCTGAGGGATCACGTCGACACCAACCCCCTCGTACAAAAACGGGTTCAAGCTACCTGCCCTAAGCCCTAAACCCTAAACCCATAAACCCTAAACCCATTCCCAAGAAGCATGGATTCCTGAACCCCAAGAACCCGGAGGCCTATGATCCACCAAGCTTTGGGCATACTTTGGAAAACCGGTGTTGTGTCAAACCCTAACCCCTAGGCACCGCATGCTGAACGCCAGACTATCCCAAATCCAGGGACTAAAAACATAATTCCAGACCCCAAGTGATAAGCTCACCAAGGCACGCAATCCACAATTTCTTCCGCGCTTGACTCTTCTTCGCCGACATGCACGTCTTTCGCAGCCTGCAGTACAGAAGGTGTAACATCCCCTGCACTTCATTGCCATAACTCCACGTTACAACCACTATGTGTTATTTGGAGCGGGAGGTTCATGGGTGTCCATCTTGGTTCGGGAGAACTGGGGATTCATGCGCCATATTCTTGCGAAGCTTTCAAAGCAGGAGCCCGCCGAATCAGCAAGAGAGGCGTGGGGGCAAAGGGCTTGGGAGAAGCTGGAAATCTGCTTGGTCAATGAGCATTTGGTCTTGGTCTCTCCTCTAAGACACAGACGCCAACGCTCAAATCCTGCTACTGAAACATTTAGGCTTGGGGGCCCAGGGTTAAGGGGATAGCGCCCAGACAGCAATGGCCTGAGGAATCCTGATTTGCTCCACTGGGCATGGAGCACATGAAGCACAGCAAGAACAGCTAATCCTGAACTGGTATCGCTAAGCCTAAGCCCTTACCCCTAAACTCTAAACTCCTGAACTCTAAGCCCGAAACTCATGGAGGTCCCTTTCTGGCAAGGTAACCCTTCGCCCAAGCCTCGCAGAAGATCTAGCAAGCACAAGGACTAAAAAACAACAATTGACACATAGTACTATAATGTACTATAATGTACTATAGTTCTTAAGGTATAAGGTGACACTACTACTGTTTCTTATAAAAATACTGCATGACCTTGCTATACTGTAGTACTAGAATTCTTGAGGTATACGAAGGTACTTGGGGTCATGCGCGACTTGTAGTATCCACCGTATTGGGCAGCTCAAAAAGCGGCCCTACGAAGACTAACACCCCTTTAGTTTTTTGGCCCTATATAGAGGTGTTTCAAAAGAGCCCTTAATCTTAGGACCTACCCATATCAGGGTTTAGGGTTTAGGGCCTAGTATGCCCCTAATAACCCTAAAATACTCCCCACTATATACCCCCTGTTTAAGGAGTTTAGACTCTAGCCCATAACAGGGTTTCGGGTTTAAGGTAGCTAGTGTAGTTGGCTTGATCGGCAATCACTATTATATTACTTCATATGATATATATATATATGATTACCAATGTCGTTTCGATGTGGATTTAAAGTACCTTATACTATAATACGCAAGAAATCTAGGGCCACGATACCCTAAACCTAAACCCTAAACCTTAAACCCTAAACCCTAAACCCCTACACCCTATACCCTAAACCCTAAACCCAGGGGTCTGGATCCCAGCCTTTGCTGGGACCTCTGCGCAAAGGCAAGGTTCCTCTTCGGATGTCTTCTTGCAGATGGCCCCTGACAGCGTTTAGGGTTTACCTGTAACCCGGCCCAATAACCTACAGTTTTATGGGTTATACCTACTAATGGAGGAGTACGTGCTACTAAACTGTAGGTTATTGGAGCCACAGGTACGGCGCCTGAGAATTGATAAGGTCTCCGGAGATAGGATTTCAGGGCTTAGGGCCGAAGACTTCAGATGTGCCTGCACCCAAAAGTATCGGGGTTCTTGGGTAGGTCCGTAGCTTTAAGGGGTGCCATACATTGGGGCCCCCAATAATTGCAGCCTATAATCCTTGTTTCAGGAACTGTCACAAGGGAAGACTAATTTCTGGAAACCTCTATTTAAATAGAAGTTACTGTTGATGCTAGAAACCTTGCACTGCATGACCTTGGTATACCATACTACCGTCATTCCCACGGTCTCAGGTACTTCGGGTCAGGCAGGGTATCGTTTGTCCACCCCAAAACCCTAAACCTTAACTGCAGGGCTGTGGGGTTCCAGGAGGTTGACGCAGTTGGAATGAAGGTTTAGACTCAGGGTAAACCAAAATAAACCTTATCCCCTAAACCATCAAACCCTAAACCCTAAACCATGTGGGTCTCTGGGCCTGCAGAAGCTTGTCTTTGGCGACTTCTGATGGCTTTCGAGCCATGGCAGGGCCCCGAACCTGGGCTGGAAGTCTTCGTGGTTTGTCTGGGTTGCTGTTAAGGAACTTAAGTTAAGTTACTATATTGGGGAAGCCTTATTATTTACTATATATACCCATTATGGTAACTTAAATTAAGTTCTTTAACAGCAACCCAGTAGTCTACTTTCTGGTGGTTAGTACGGAAGAAGGGCATATATGATATAGGGCTTAGGGTTCAGGGTTTAGGGTTAGTGGGAATAGAGGAATACATCTTCTAGGGATTATATAGGAACTATTTTCGCATATTCCCTGCTACCACCAGAAAGGTCTAAGGGTGGAACCACCCAAGTGTGGGCCTGTTGCTTGGAATCTTTGTTTGCCTATTACTTTATAGAAATACACCCACCCATGGGCAGGACCTTTGGTTTCAGGTTGGTATGAAAGGTTCGGGAATTGAATGGGTTCGCTGTTGGGGCGGCGGGGGTGGATTTAAAGGATTAATTGGCGTCTGGCAAACTGTTTGGTTTTTCCGGGCCTTATTCCCAAACAAGGGTTATATATCTGGACCCGTTACACCCTAAATCCTAAACCCTAAACCTGAAACCCTAAACCGCCTTGAGGTCTAGAGCTCGGAGCCTTCAACTTTGAATGGGCCTTCAGGATATGTGGGGAGTTGCCATGAAATGCTTCCTTGTGGGGGTCCCCTGATGAGGTTTATTTATACTATTTGGCTGTGTATTGGGATCCCTTTTGTTGGTTGTGTAATGTAGACTCATGATTAACAAGCCCCCTCCTTTTAAGGGCCTTAATATTCGGATCCCTATTATACTCCCTATTAACGGGAGGGTATTATTAATCAGGGTCTACATTAAGCTATTCCTTGTGGATTTGTTGACCGGAGAACTCGAGCACGAGGAACGGCTCCTGCGACATCCACTGCACAGCGGGCCAACTGTTTGAGGAAATACCCAGCTCAACCAACATAGAAGCCCAAACAGATATAGTTCCCATTAGATAGAATATTGGGTACATGGGGATCTTATTATGATTTGCCCAAAGCCATATTCTTTCTACTCAAGGGGGACTATACATATCAAGCTCCACGTTTGTTCTGCGGGGGGTGTCGTATTTCACTGCTTGCTGTTTGCCATCTTGTCTTGCTCCTGGCCTTCGAATTGGGATGCGCAGTGTAAGATTCAAGGCCTTTCCTTCTCTAGGACTCAAGACTGGGTTCAGGGTTCATATATCTTTGACTCCCATCCCAATTCTGGGGCCATGTCTCGACACAGCAACTTGGGAAAGCAATTGGCAGGATCGTGGGTACCTGGACACACAAAGTATGTAGAACAATGGCGTTATTGGCTGCTTGTAGAAACCTTAAACCCTAAACCCTAAAAGCGGTCTTGGACCATGATTTTGTTACATACTTGTGGGGTCCAAGTATGCCTGAGGGCTTGTTCAAACCGAGCAAGGCCCCTTGGCAGGAGCCTGCATGTTAGGAAGCGCGGATGGGTCTCTTCACTTCCTGGAACCTCCTTGTGCCCGTAAATAGGGGGTCTCTAATAGCGGGTACTCAAGATATACTTGAAAGAATCTAGAAACCCTTAGCCCTAAACCCTAAACCCTATAATGGAGGGTAGAAGGAAGGTCCAGGTTCTGAGAGCATGCAACAGAACCCAACGTTGCTTGGGCTCCCGTGGCGGGCATCACGCCCAGAAATGCTTCCGGTCTGCTGCAGCCAACTTGTCCATCCGACAAAGCCGCTGGTCAGGCAACCGGTGCCAAGAATGGCATGGAACTTTGGAGCATGGGTAACTAAGGGGTTCAGGTCACATGAAATGACAGACTGTTTCCGGGTTGGGAACTCTGTTTTGGGCACCCCAACATAGATCACAAAATACTAACCCTCATGATGAGGACCCCAAAAAGGTACCCCAAATTTGGGGAACCCGGGGAAGATTAACAAATCGGCAGGAAGGGCACTATTATTAGAATTAAGTTGATCTCTGGACCACTCCAACAGGCTCATGTTGATCTTTGGTGCCATGGCCCCTGCATGTGTTTGGTTTAGGGTTTAGGGGGCTTAGGGTTCGGGGTTTAGGGGTTTAGGGATTAAAGTTTTAGGGGTTTAGTGTTCAGGGTTAGGGGTTTGGGGAGAGCGTTCCTCTTGGGTCCTGGGTGGGGCCATCGAAGTCGAACCCTCTGGAAAGCCTGCCACGATCTATCCTAGAAACAGGGATTCTTATCAATTTACTAGTGGCCAGTAGGGAATAGAGGAACGGATGCCGACAGTGTAATCCCTGGATGCTAATATTGCACACCGCCCTACTCTTGATAAGACATCGCTCAAACAAAGTAGATTATGGGGAACCTTGAATATTAGGGATTTGTGAGGATTTAATAGTCTGCAGTACCCTTTCCTTGATTTCCTATGAACACCCAGTACTTCCAAAGTTGCTCCTTTCGAGCCATGCGTTCCTTTATGGACGCGGGCCCCCATAGCATTGCGGATACCCTTTGGGACCAACGGGTATGGTACCGTTGCCCGTCCGCCCGAAATATCCTTGCTTTGCATGGGCGAGGATGCCCTCATGTACAACACTCTCGATGCCTGGGACTGCCATCATCCGGCCCATCCACTTCCAAATCCCAGCATACTCAAACAAGAAGGCCTGATTGAGCCTGGGTGGTTTACGGCTTAGGGTTTAGGGTTTAGGGTTGAAGGCTTAAGCCTGAGGGTACTCTGAAGGTCCCAAAAAACTATCTCTGCATAAGTCCCTGTGCAGAGCAACAAAGGGTACTTTCCTAAAATAGGGAGACCCCAATATAGACCCCCAAATACTATACTCCTTATTAAAGGGACCCCCAAAATGGTACCCCTATTTTTGGGAAACCCCCAAATAAAATGGTTATGCCCAAATTGCCACCTGGCAGCTTCATGCGGTTGTGATAAACGGGATCATGGCGCCAAAGCGTTGTAAACGCCCGCAGATCGCACTCCGTGACCGCATTGCCAACAATGAAGTCCTGGGTTGGCCAGGCTTGAGAAACCCTAATCCCTAAGCCTAAGCCCTATAAACCCTAGATCCCAAACCCTCAACTCTAAATCCTAGATCCTAAACCCAAGCCTTGAACAAACTTCGTCAACAAACTACCTGACATCCCCCCAAGTCATCATCCCCCAACGTAACAGCCATGAAAGCGGATAATTGTAAGACGCCATTCTCATAGATGGTTATGAGGGTCGTTTTACTTTGTGCTGGCCCCTGATTAGCCTTCAGCTCGGAATTTCACAACAAATCCCGCTAGTCTAAATGGATAATCCAGAATCCCTATAGCCCTAAGCTCTAAAACCCGAAGCCATAAACCTTAAATCCCAAACCCTAAACTCTACACCCTAAATCTTCAGCCCTAAGTCCTAAAATCAGGGGCAACCCAGAATCATTGGTTTCCACCAACGAATTGAGTTTGTCAAGGGCCGCGAAGTATGCAGCAAACGCTGTCTCGTAAATGTCCTGGGTGCCAGCGCAAAGGCCATCAAAATATGTTTTAAGGTTTAGGGATTTGGCATATTTATTTCTGCACCTGGACCTTCCATCTACCGTCTATTATACCATAAATACCACAATTAGGGACCATATACACCTATTTAAGGGTACGGGGTATAAGGTCCGCTATCACAATATGGAATCTGAAAATTATTTGCAAATGCCACCCCAGTGTCTTGATTTGAAGAGAACCCTGCCTTGTAGGCACCATTGTTGATGTCTGTGTACAGCCATGTGTTTGCATCCTCGATTTCCTTTTGCAATGATTCTGGGTACAGCTGGATGGGCCGTTTCGCATATGGCAACATTACGGTCTCGAACATGCGCATGATCTCTGCACTTTCGTTGTTCACAACCTTCAGGAGTCAAGGGCCCGAACATTGACACCCTAAACCCCAGACCGTTGGACGCATGGGGATGTGGACCCCAGCCAGAACCTCTAACGCCAAGCCTGAAATCCTCTATGCGCAAAATCCACGTACGGGCGGATGGGGGGAGATGCATGAAGCCTTTTTGGCGACTTTGTCATACAAGATCGGGATCGATCGTTGCTCAAGCCCAGACTCTGCGTAGATGTCGACGATGTATTTCCTTCACCGCTCATGGAAGCCACAGGAAGAATTCTGGTCCAAACAATCGTTCAAGAACACAGGTGCCAACTACACTCCCGGAAAATAACATGGAAACCCATAAGGGGCCCTATGAAGACTACAGTCCCTCGAAAAGGGGGCTATATGGGTTTCCATGTTAGTTTGGGGGAGTGTATCAAAAACTCATCTCAAGAAAGCTCAGCTTCTTCCCGCCCACAGTGTCTGTGGTGCATTCCGGGAAGGTGACATGACGACCATTTTGAGCCGTGACGCCTTCCGGCGCGAAGCGCCACAGGTTCTCCTAGGCTGCCCTACATCCATGTACAAACCTGAACCCCTCAACCTTCAGCCATTGACCCTAAATCCTTCAACCATCAACCCAATATGGATCTTTCAACTGGCACTTTAACTGAAGTTCGATAATCTTATCGGTGGTTAGCTAGGAATGAAGGAATGGATCCTTATAGTAGTCCCCATATAGCCCATTATATAAGCTTCCATTTTCCTTCCATTCCTTCCAAGCCCCAAACCCAATACTCTAAACACCAAAACCCTACAGTAGTTTCCATTTTCTTTTCCATTCTTCGATTCTCAATTAAATTAAGGCCGTTAGCTGAGCCCTAAACCCTAAACCCGGAAGCCCTATAACCCTAAACCCTACAACCTTAAAAAGCCAAAACCCCTTAAATCCCAAAACCCCAAAACCCTAAAACCCTAAATCCTAAAACCCTAAACCCTAAAGCCCGAAACACTCAACCCCTAAACCCTAAAACCCTAAAACCCGCAACCCAGTCTCCCCCCGCTCATCCGAACTCGTTGTGCGGCCTGGAAAGCAAACATCCATAGACACGGCATCCTCGAGGCCTGAGGGTCTAAGGGTTTTTAAGGCATAGGGTTTAGGGTTAAGGGGTTTAGGGTTTTAGGGGTCTATGGGTTTAAGGTTTAAGGTTTGGGGTAGAATGGTTTAGGGGTTTCGAGGCTTAGGGCTTCGGGTTTAGGGTTTGCCATGGGGTTTCGGGTCTAAAGTTTGGGGGCTGAAGTTTAGGATTTGGGGTTTTGAGCTCAGGTAAGGTTTAAGGCTAGGAAGACCTGGTCTGCTGATAAAGTTTAGGATTTCGGGTTTTGAGCTCATTTAGGGTTTTGGGTTAGGAAAGCCTGGCTTGCTAATAAGTTGGCGAGGAAGACCTCTACTACCTACAACCTATTTTGGGTTGCTGTTAAAAAGCTTAGATCAAGTTACCACAGTGTATATACATATAAGCTAGCCCCACCCCCATGTACTTACCTGTTTTGCCTAAACCCTGGGGAAGCAGTGTCAAAATTTGACTAGAAACAATTCCAGAATCTTTGATTCTTTGACTTGAGCTTTCCATTGGATTCTGGTCTATATGACTTCTTTTTCAAACCTTATTAAAAACAATGCAGAAACCCTAGGTTCCTTGACTTCAGGATTTCCAATCGCGGGCAAGAATTTGGTTTATATGAACTCATTTTCGATTTTTATTGGTGATGACACAGAAATCCTGGGTTCCTGGATTTCCACTTTTGGAAACGAAGTTAAAGTATATGAATTCCGCTTAACATTCTGGTTAGAAACACTGCAGAAATCCTGGAATCCTGGATTTCCGGATTTCGAATTGTGGTTGAGAACTTGGTGTTTATGAGTTCGTTTTAGATTTCGGTTAAAAACGTTACGGAAATTTCCAATTTTGGAAGGGAATTAAAGCTAGTGTGTATGAATTCCCTTTAAAAATCAAATCAGAAATACTGCACAAATCCTGGGTTCCTGGAGTTCGAATTTTCTGTTTTGAATAGGATTTTTACGCAAATGAATTCCTTGTAAATTTTGAATAGAAGCATTCCAGAATCTTTGATTTTTTGATTTGGCCTTTCCGTAGGATTCTGGTTTATATGAATTCTCTTTAAGACATCACTAAAAACAATAGAGAAATCTTGGGCTCCTGGGTTTCCAGCTTTGGAAACAATTTTGGTGCTTGTGAATTCCCTTTAAAAATCTAATAAAAAATACTGCAGGCCTTGCCTTTGGCGGGCGACGGCTGCGCCTGCTTAGTGATCTGACCTACTCGCGATGCACGCGCAATCAGCGCTACTACTGTCTAGAACAAAGGCCGAAGTGCCCAAAAACAAGTCCCTAGAGCTCTAGCTTTCTGGGTACGGAGCTACTTTACGTGCAGCGAAAAGTATCTGCAGCTCAACCCAACAGTTGTACCAGAAACCGCTTTGAGCAAGCAGGCATACATTCAGTCACAATAGCAACGGAATTGCCTTGGACACTGCTTGCAAGATGAGGAACAGCCAGCTTGATAGACAACACAGATACAACACAGATGTCCTCTGCGGCACAGCGACAGTACAAAGGATACTGATCAACGTCCTTTACATCGAAACGCTAAATCCAGAAGCCAATTAAAGGACAAGTGACTGGAATCTAGAAGTAACAGCAATGGTGGAAACCCTGGGCCTCAGACCCCACACCGAAAGCTGAAAAAAATGAACTTTGAAAGTCAGCCTTGGCCAAGGCTTGCAGGCGCCAAGAGGGCGGCTGCTGTTTCTTGGTCTCTGCCGCAGCCTTTTGTGCGGCTGGCATGTTTCTGGGAAAGATT